TTGATCCTGAATCCCCCAGCATAGAAATCCACTTTCTTTCCCCTGACGGTTTTGCCCGAGAGCATAAAATACAAAAACATCTAAAAAGAAAAAAAAATACTATTATGAACAAGCAATACTCCAAAATAACACATAACACTTCTTTATTTTTTAAAGAGGTGGTTGAATATAAACAAGCCAATTGATTTAAGAAACAGATACTATTCACACATCCATGTTCCATAAACACAGTATATGGACGTGCATGCATTTTTAATGAGATGAAACTGCTGTGTGCTCATGAATCCCTCAAGTTAAGCTACTTTATGCACTGCTGTCACCAGGTGACCATGCCGACTCTTTCTCAAGATGCAGCGGCCGTGTCCCAGTGCTGAAGGCTCTGACAGGGGGGTGGCTTGTTGCTGTCCCTCTTATTCACAACAACGCAGGAGTTGCAAGGTTCTTATTATAACAGTAGACTGGAAACATGACAGCAGCTTTGTGAGAATACAAAGGCTTACGCAGCTTGTGAGAACCAAGGCACGCTGGCACCCCATCAAAACACTGCCCCTCTAATCAAACATCAAAAGACATCCGCCGCACCTCACAAATCCCTTATCAAAACTCGATACGTCCCCCGTCTCCTGTCCTATTGTGCACAGACTGATCTCTGAAAGGCTGCAATTGTGTGTCTCTGTTTATAATAACACACTGGAGGCAGTAAGAGGATTGCGTATTTAGCACTGAAATAATCTTCACATTGTGCTCTTCTGAAAGCAGTCCTTGTGGGACTCAGTTCAGTTAAAGTTGGCGTGAGGACTTTTTGCTGTTTTTAAAATTCTGATTCCTGTATTTGTTTTGGTCCCCAATTCAGCCTCCTTCCAGCAGTAGCCCCACGGAGAAACCTGTACAGGTCATGCCCAGGTGCTCTGCTCTACTCTTATCTGTGGATAGCATGATGCCATTGACACCTGGGGGAGAGCTAAGCTTGGCTGACCCTGCCTAGTTCTGTCATATTACCGAGAGCAAAGCTTTATGTCAATAACCTGATTCAAGACAGTTTCTTACTCTTTTTGCAAACTAGTGTTAATTCAACAGTCATTAGCCTTTGACACAATTCAGACAGAGAGTTTCATTTTTAACAGCTCTCATGAGCTGGGCTCAGCGATCACAGATCCAAACTACTTGCCGACTCAAAATTCTGTAAATTTACCCCCAGATTGATGATGCAAATCGGACAGAGGTCGCAATACTGTGTTCATACGCGCTCCAGCCGTGGTTAAGGGAAGCAGATGCTCTCCATCTGGGGAGACCCGGACGGGATTCCTGTTTAGATGACCTCTGGACGTGAGTTTGATGATCTGAGCCTTACCCTCTCAAATCTCAAAACCCCTGTTTGATCTGAAATAAATTAAAGGTATTCCAACCCAGCCCTTGTGCAAAGAAATCTTTTTTCATTCATTTTAGCCCAAGCTAATCTATTTGTTAATAATCTGTTTGACCTAACTATGTTGTTAAAGAAAGGATTTAAATGTCTTTTGAGCAGTGCATCAGACATCTATAAAAACTGGCTAGATTGCAGTTTCCTACGGACTTGGTTTCGTCAGCTGCGGGACTGGCGATGGCAGCTCCGTGGCTAAGAAGGACCCAGGACTAAAAAATATGAAGGTTAGACTAAAGAAAAAAGATGACGTTTGTGCTTATTTGGATTTTTTTCAAACTGCCGCTTATTCCGCTATTCATTAACATCGCAGTGTGGA